CACGCTGTTGTCCCAGCACTTGGGGAGGTTGAGGTTGAGCCCTCAATCCTCAAGTTGAAGAATCGCTCGAGCCTGGTAAGAGAAAGCTGCAGTGAGCCGTGATTGCATCACCACATTCCAGCCTGGGTGACAGAGCGAGACCCTGTCTCAAAAATAAATAAGTAAACTGAGAAACTGGCCGCCGACACCGTTTTTGGATCCTAGCTCTGAGACGCCACACGCATCGCCTGCTGAGCTGCAGAGGAGAGGTGCGTGGACACACAGAGCGGGTCTGCAGGACGCGTCCCAGAGCCCTCCAGACCATCCTGTGAGGGCAGCCACCCTGCTCCATGGGAGGGGAGTATCTTGCTGGGTCTTGACTGGTATCGGGGCCGCTTCACGGCCTCCCCTCTCCTCACCCTGGGGTGGGGCTGCAGGCCTATCGGCACTGGTGTGCGGCTGCTGCTCTCATCTCCTTTACGGGGCTCTGAGCCTGGGGCTAAGAATGTATATATTTTTAAAAATCTCCTCCATTCAATAAATGGTGGGGAAACGTAGTGCAGAAGAAACATGGCATCACAAACGGGCCAGGCTGCGGTGGGCGGTGGCTCTGTGGGCAGGCGGAGAAGCAGCACAGCCAGGAGGGCGCAGGGCAGCGTGGCCAAGGTGGCCAACAGACGGCTCGAGGGCAAAGGGGCAGACGTGGAACCAGGGGCCTTATCTGCGCTGTTACTCTCCAAGAGCTGCTTTGGGGACAGTGGCAGGGCCCAAGGGTGCTTTCCTAGCGTGCGACCGTGTAGAAGCTGGGGATGCTGCCGTTGGGGATGGGAGATGGCGGCTGGGGTCATGAGTGGCCGGAAACCTTGTCTGTCCTAGGGTAACTTCTCAGCTCTAAACCTGGTGAAGGTGCTATCCATTTAAGAAAGCAGAATTTATGTTTTAAAAACAGCTTCCTTTGCATCCATGATAATACAGTCAAAGAAAAAAGAAAAACAGCTCCCAATTTGAGTGAGGGTCTGGGAACCGCCGGTGGGCTGGCTCTGCAGGGCAGGACCTGCTCATGGGATACTGCTGATGTGGTCCTCTGGGGACAGGCGGGCTGTGTCTCCCCTCACAGCCAGCCAGAGGTCTGGGACACCCCCATCACCTCCTGTGCCACCTCCAAGCCTTCTTTCCTCCCAGGCTGGGAGCCCAGCAATGCCCCCAGCACTAGGAGGGACAACTGCTTCTGCTCTAGAGCTCCTTCAGAAAAGGAGCTGGCTGTGTGGAGTCAAGGACTCGGGACCCACCCAGGCCAGGGCCATTCCTGCCAGGTACACAGATGGCAGCTGTGAAGGTGCACACAGGGACAAGGCAAGGGAGTGGGTGGTGGCCTTCGCACGGATGGTGGGACAGCCTGCATCTCCACCCCAGGTCAGATAGAAAAGAGCAGCAGCCCTCCTGGTGGCTGAGAGCCGGCCCTCAGCTCCCTGCACAGCTGAGATGGAAAGGGGAGCGCATCCCGCCACGAGCAGCGGTCATCATGTGCGCGTTTAGCTGAGATCACAGAGGACAACTGGCAACTGAAAATAAAAACCCACAGACACAAGCTTCACTGTGAAAGAGAAACGAAAACCCGCGTAACTAAGAATGACGACCAGGACGACAGTCAGAGTCTCCTAAATAATCCAGCTCATGTGACCGAATTTAAAAAATAAAGTAAGTACTGGAATCCTTGTGATTTTTAAATTTCTTAAACCTAGGCATCTAATGGGCCAGGCCCAAATAACTTCCGCAGTAGGAAGAGACGAGGCTCCTGGCTGTGACAATTTTTCCCACAAAGGGTGTTTAGACTGATGGGGGAAATGTAGTGATTAGAAATGTAGGCTCCAGTGTCACGAAGAACACCACACTCCCCCATTATCAAGAACGGGTGAGATAGCGGCTGGGAAAAGAACTGGAGCTTCCCCTGAGAATACAAAGCCACTTGGTTCTCAGTGAGATGGTACATTGGTGAGCGCCCCAGATAACAAGCCCAACACTGACCCTGGGCAAGCTGCTGAGCCAAACGCCTCCATCAGGCAGCTTGTCGCTCCCTGCTCTCACTCGCAGGCTGCTGGGAAGAGAGCTGGCAGATGCCGTCTCCCCTGAGCACCTCAACGCACAGGCCCGAGACAGGAGGCCACGCGTGGGGGGAGGTCAACCACCACCATCCTGGGTTTATACAAACACCGCAGGAAGCCGAAAGTGGACCTGAATGTGGATCCCAGGCCAGGCAATGTGGCAGGAGGCTGCAGAATCTCTCCTGAGAGGCGAGGGGACTTTCAAGGCTAGGCCAGCGTGTGTGCGGTAGGGAGCAGGCAGGGCAAGGATCCATCTACCGGGTGGTAACAGAAGGGCTCTACCCCCAAGGCTTTCCTGGGAACCACAGAAAAGCATGCTGGAGTTGGGAGTTTACCTGCACTCTGGGGTCTCCCTCTGAGCACCACCTTGCTGTGACCTGTTTCCACGACCATCCTCCCTACTGGGCTGCTGGAAGGTCAGAGGGACCCCCATGTCTGCCTTCTGTGTCCCAAGACACCGGCATCCGGCTCAGCAGGTCCTCCAATGTCGGAGGGAGGGCGGGGCGTGGGCAAGCCTACACAGCGTCGTGGGATGTGCGCTATCAGCTCAGCCAGGCACGCAGCCCCCTGCCGTGGCAAACACAGCAGTGCGATGGCTTCCATGTCAATGGCGCTTTTATTCCCACACATTGGAAAGGGGTTTTTAAAACAGGAAAACCTATTCCTTCTACTGTCACAAAAACAAGATCACTTGCCATCAACTAAACTAAAACTGAAATGATATTTGCCAGAAACTTTGCAAGATTTAAATACATGCTGGGTACAGTGGCTCACACCTATAATCTCAGCACTTGGGGAGAACGAGGCAGGAGGATGGCTTGAGCCTGGGAGGTTGAGACTGCAGTGAGCTGTGATTGCGCCAGCCTGGGTGACAGGGGCCCTGTCTCAAAAACAAATTTAAATACAGTTTAGCCTTGCACAACGTGGGTCTGAACTGCACCGGTCCACCTACACACAGACCTTCTGCCTCTGCCACCCGAGACAGCAAGGCCCACCCCTCCACTTCCTCCTCAGGTATTCAACATGAAGATGAGGAAGAAAGCCTTTATGATGGTCTGCTTCCCCATAATGAAGTGGAAGCATTTTTCTCTTCTTTACAATTTTCTTAGTAATGTTTTCTCCAGCTTACTTTAAGTATATAATACCTACCACACAGAAGGTATGTGTTAACTGACTGCTGGTGTTGTTGGTAAGGCTTCCCGTCAACAGGAAGCTACTGGTAAGTTTTGGGGGAGTCAAAAGTTGTACGTGGATTTTCGACTGCATGGGCAGTCAGCATCCCCAGCCCCTGCATTGCTCAAGGGTCAGCTGTATACCCAACTGCCCTCCCAATCAACTCCGCTACTTGGGAGACTGCCCCGGATCCTTCATGGTGCATTCCAGATGAGGCAGGTGTGCTCAGCCCGTCCTGAGGTCACGGGAGGTTGTGTCTCAGGCACAGTGCTGGTGGGTGACACCTGGATTTGAAAGGCCTCTTCCCTGCCATGCCTGCAGGAAGATCCCCTGTGCATCCTTCCAGCAAGCAGCTCTAGATGGAGTCCAGCCATGCCTGGGCCAGAGGCAGAGTGGTCTCCTACCTCCTTGGGAATATAATGAATCAGCTTCCGACTTTGGACAGGGGCATGTGGCCATATCAGGAACCTAAGGCATGTCAATTTCTCCTTCGTCAGCAAGTCATTCATTCATTCATTCCTGAAAGCCTTTGTTCCACACTGGACAGGGTAACAAAGGAGTCAGATTTTGTCCTTAGGGGATGCACAGTCTAGTAGGGAGGGGCAACCTGCAGGAATATGGGGTGGAAAGAGGGGCTGCAGGGGTCCCGAAGCACCTGTGAACACTGAAGAGATGAGCATATGGTGGAGTACGTGGAGTGTGAGCAGGCAGCAGGGCCGGGCCAGGCAGACATGAGCAGTAAACAGCCGCAGAGAGAAGTCTGGCCTGGAGATGGGCTGTGTTTCATCAAATCCAAGACGCCACCATTTTTGAAAGCACTGTTCCCTCAAAGGCAGTGTGTGTGAGAGATCCTGGAGCTGTCCAGTGTGACACTGACAGGGCTCAGGACGGGACACACACAGGACAAGAGTGGGGGAAGGCAGAGCCGGAAGCCAGGCCACTCAGCCCTGTGCGGTGGAGACAGGGCCAGCATCAGGGCCCAGAAAACCTGAGTTTGGAAGCGAGGACATCCCTGTGCATTTAGCAAAAAGACCTGAGGGAGGGCAGGGTGGAGGCCAGGCTGGCGTGGGCTGCAATGAATAGGGCACACGACTGCCACATTGAGTGACTTTTGGACACTCAGTGCGAGGGAGGCCCTTAACGAAAGTTACCAACAAGGCGGGCGACTAGGAACCCAAGTGGAGAAAAAAAAATGACAGTAACACTGGCTAACAATGACAGGTGCTTGCCACAGCCAGGCTCTGTTCTAAGCATTGCATACGTGTCAACGCTGCACACGTTTTCAGAAAAAGGGAGATGCTGGTATCCGCAGAGATAAATAAGGCTAAATACATGTAAAATGGTAGGTGGTCGGATTCTCCGAGAACAGCCAATATTTGGTTGTCGGTTGCTGCTAACCCCACCACCACCATTTTGGGTAGGTGGGTGGGTGAGGTGGGGGGGACAGGAAGTCTCTGTCACTTGAGCAAATAATGGAAATGAAAGAAAAACCAGAAACAGGCCTTGAATCGTCATCATATAGGAAAGTGTTAATCCATCATTAAATGAACAATGGGCCTCCGCTCCATCACATCTTCTGTCCAGCCAGGGTTCCCCGACCCCCTTTTACTGCTTGCCTCCCCAGGGCTGACCCAGGGGCAGCCTGCAGAATCCCAGAGCATCGGGGGCTCCCAGGAGACCCCACTGAGGAAGGAGACCCCCTTCTCTGAGCCTGTGCTGAAAGAACAGGAGTAAGTAAAAGTTAAAGGTCAGCCAGAGGAGGTCAGTGGAAGGACCCGTTGGTGCCGCCAGCCAAGTCTAACGGTTAAAGATTAAACCCCTACTACTGCTATAGATTACAGACATGGGATGGAGGAATTCTCCCTGGAAGGCACCATTCTTGCTCAACTGCACAGACTCCTGCCTAGTCACGTTCCCCACGCTTGCCTAATCGATCACGACCCTCTCACATGCGCACCTCTTAGACTGTAAGCCTTTAAAAGGGCCAGGATTTTCTTTGTTGGGGAGCTCGGTTATTGAGGCTTGAGCCAGCCGCAGCTCCCGGCCGAATAAAACTGCCACTTCCTTCCCAATTCGGTGTTCGAGGGGCTCGTTCACAGCCGCTCCTGCTTCATTTGGTTCCCTGACCGGGAAAGGAGTTTCGGTTGGCAGACGGCTGGGACAGCCTCCCAGGCAGGTTTGCCTTGCCCTGTGGAGCATCCCTGCGGGGGACTCCAGCCCGCTTGGGCGACGCGAGTCCTGAGAGCGCTCCCGGGTAGGCATTGGCCCCGGTGGAACGCCTCGCCGGAGCAAAGCAGGGTAGGCCTCCACAGCGGATCCACCCAGTGGCTGAACACCGAGAAGGAACGGGTGCCTCAAGTCCTGACATCAGAAACACGGTAGGACTTGTCTTGGGAAACCTGCCCACCCCCTGGGTGGAAGCGTGGCCTGATCACCCACGACGTGCCAATCTGTTTCGGCACTTTGAACTTGGTTTTTGGTTTCTTTGTAACCGGTTTCAATAATCTTGTTCTCTCAGAACTTGGGTAGTGGGAGGTGTGTGTGTGTGTGTGTGTGGAAGGGCCCAACGGGGCTCATCAGCCGTGAAGAGTGGGGGACACAGGTCTGTTAGAGTGGGTCCTACGTCCCGAGCGCACTGTGGGGCTGGCAGGGACCAGGGGCCATCTGCATAAGGCTGAAGGAGGTGCCCTCACAATCTAGGTATTGTGGGGAGAGTAACGCTCTCTCCAATGCCAAGCAGCGCCTGAAACGCTCCCTCGAGGGGGATGGCCCTACCGGCCTGAAGCGAAAGTGACGAGAGTGTGCTGCACTGAAACGGGCGGGGGACTGGGGGTGGAGTGCAGAGTCACGAGTAGTAACATCGGGCAAAGTCGGTAACCCTTCTACCTTTTGGTAGTGCTGTTCGTAGGGAGATGGGTAAGACACAGAGTAAACCCACTCCGCTGGGAACTATGCTAAAGAATTTCAAAAAAGGATTTAGTGGAGACTACGGTGTCACCATGACACCAGGGAAACTTAGAACTCTGTGTGAAGTGGCCTGGCCAGCATTAGAGGTGGATTGGCCCACAGAAGGGAGCCTGGATAGGTCTCTTGTCTCCAAAGTGTGGCACAAGGTCACAGGCAAGCCAGGACACCCCGACCAATTCCCGTACATAGACTCTTGGTTACAGTTGGTTTTGAACCCTCCACAGTGGTTAAGGAGCCAGGCAGCTGCAGTTCTAGTGGCCCAGGGACAGACAGGTAGGGAAAGGTCTCGCTCCACCCACCAGGGGACACAGACTCTTAAGGTCTTGGCTGACTCAGCACCGGAAGACTCTTTGCCAATAGCACTCCCTCCGATGGCACCCCCTCCTTACCCGGAGGAGAGGTCCCCCACTCCAGAGCCTGAGGCCTCTGCACCTCCACAAGACCCAAACACTCCCAGACCACCCAGAGTGGAAGGAAAAGGAGGTGTGGCTTCAGGAGGCACTCCTCCCACAGCAGTCGGCCTCCCAGGAGGATCACCCCCACTGGCAGCCCGGTTACGACCCAAGGTGGGAGTGCAAATGCCCCTAAGAGAACAGCGGTACACTGGGGTAGATGAGGATGGCCACATGGTAGAAAGGCGTGTGTCTTCACATATATACCGTTCACATCGGCTGACCTCATAAACTGGAAGAATAACAACCCATCCTACACTGACAGACCACAAGCTTTAATAGACCTGCTTCAGACTGTCATCCAAACTCATAATCCCACTTGGGCTGACTGTCACCAGCTGCTCATGTATCTTTTTAACACAGATGAGAGGCGGAGGGTGCTCCAGGCAGCATCGAGATGGCTGGAAGAGCATGTGCCAGCTGATTACCAAAACCCCCAGGAGTATGTGAGGACCCAGCTGCCAGGGACCAACCCTCAGTGGGACCCAAATACCCCCGAGGGCATGCAGAGGCTAACTCGGTACAGAGAGGCCTTACTGGAGGGAGTGAAGAAAGGAGCACAAAAGGCCACAAATATACACAAAGTATCTTAGCTTATGCAGGGAAAGGACGAAAGTCCGGCACAGTTTTATGAAAGACTATGTGAGGCCTACTGCATGTACACTCCCTTTGATCCTGAGGAGCCCCAGAATCAGTGCATGGTGAACTTGACTCTAGTTAGCCAAAGGGCTGACCACATCAGGAAAAAGCTGCAGAAACAGGCTGGGTTTGCGGCCATGAGCACCGCACAGTTGTTGGAAATAGCTCATCAGGTGTTTGTGAACAGAGACGCAGTAAGTTGCCGAGAGAAGGAGCGACAGAATCGGCGAAATGCTGACCTGATAGCTGCAGCTATCAGACGAACCCCTTCGAAGGGGCAGGGCAAGGGAAGAACGCCCAGTCTGACCGGAGGCCTCCACAGCGCAACCAGTGTGCACACTGTAAAGAAATAGGACACTGGAAAAAGAACTGCCCTCAGTTGACAAGGGAACAGGGTAACGCCAAGCAAGAAGCCTCAGGAAAAGATGAAGCTGCCCTGTTTAGCCTGGCAGGGGGGCCAATAGACTGAAGGGGACCGGGCTCAAATGCCCCCAAAGAGCCCATGGTCAGGATGACAGTGGGGGGCAAGGACATTGATTTCTTGGTTGACACCAGGGCGGAGCACTCGGTGGTGACGCAACCTGTGGCCCCCTTGTCTGGCAAGACAACAGACATAATTGGGGCCACTGGAATTTCAGAAAAGCAGGCTTTTTGCCTACCACGGACCTGTTCGGTGGGAGGCCATGAGGTTACACATCAGTTCTTGTACATGCTGGACTGCCCCCTACCCCTTCTGGGGAGAGACTTGCTAAGCAAACTCAGAGCTACCATCACCTTCACTGATAAGGGCTCCCTGCAGCTAAAACTGCCTCGGGCAGGGATTATCATGGCTCTGACAGTCCCCCCAGAGGAGGAGTGGAGACTCTTCCTGACTGAACCAGGACGAGAATTAACCCCTGCTCTAGCCAAGCGATGGCCAGGGGTCTGGGCAGAGGACAACCCCCCAGGGCTGGCAGTAAACCAAGCCCCAGTGGTTATTGAATTAAAGCCAGGGGCATGACCTGTCAGAGAGAGACAGTACCCGGTCCCAAGGAAAGCTCTCAAAGGCATCCAAGTCCCTCTCAGACGCCTGAAGGCTTACGGCATTATAGCTCCTTGCCAGTCCTCTTGGAACATGCCTCTCCTGCCTGTCCCGAAGCCAGGAACCAAGGACTACTGACCAGTGCAGGACCTGCGCCTGGTCAACCAAGCAACCGTGACCCTGGACTCCACGGTGCCTAACCCGTACACGTTGCTTGGGTTGCTGTCGGCTGAGGACAGCTGGTTTACTTGTCTGGACTTAAAGGACGCCTTTTTCAGCATTAGGCGAGCCCCTGAAAGTCAAAAGCTGTTTGCTTTTCAATGGAAAGATCTGGAAACAGGTGCCACTGCCCAGTACACTTGGACTTGGCTACCCCAGGGGTTCAAAAACTCCCCCACCATCTTTGGGGAGGCACTAGCCCGGGATGTCCTGAAGTTTCCTGCCAAGAGCCTAGGCTGCGTGCTGCTCCAATATGCTGATGACCTTTTACTGGGACACTCCACGGAAGTCGGGTGCGCTAAGGGAACAGATGCCTTACTTCGGCACCTGGAGGACTGTGGGTATAAAGTGTCCAAGAAGAAAGCCCAGATCTGCAGGCAGCAGGTGTGGTATCTGGGATTCACTATTCGGCAGGGGGAGCACAGCCTACGGGCGGAAAGGAAACAGGTCATTTGCAACCTGCTGGAACCCAAAACCAGAAGGCAGGTAAGAGAACTCTTGGGAGCCATGGGCTTCTGTAGACTGTGGATCCCAAACTTCACAGTACTGGCCAAACCCCTGTATGAAGTCACAAAGTGGGGAGTCAAGGAACCCTTTGAATGGGGACCCCAGCAGCAGCAGGCTTTCCACACCCTGAAGGGAAAACTTATGTCTGCTCCGGCACTGGGATTACCTGACCTGACAAAGCCCTTTACACTGTATGTAACAGAAAAGGAAAAGATGGCCATTGGAGTGCTAACCCAGACTATGGGATCTTGGCCAAGGCCGGTGGCCTACCTCCCTAAACAGCTGGACGGAGTTTCAAAGGGCTGGCCTCCCTGCCTAAGAGCCCTAGCGGCAACTGCCTTGTTAGCCCAAGAAGCAGGTAAGCTGACTCTGGGGCAGAACCTGAACATAAAGGCCCCGCATGCAGTGGTGACTCTAATGAATACCAAGGGACATCACTGGCTGTCAAATGCCAGGCTAAGTATCAGAACTTGCTTTGTGAAAACCCCCGCGTCACCATTGAGGTCTGTAACACCTTAAACCCTGCTACCTTGCTCCCAGCGTCGGAGAGCCCAGTGAAACATGACTGTATCGAAGTGCTGGACGCGGTCTATTCTAGCAGGCCTGATCTCCGAGACCAGCGTTGGACACCTGCTGATTGGGAGCTGTATGTGGATGGAAGCAGTTTCATTAACTCCCTCGGACAGAGGTGTGCGGGATATGCAGTCATAACCTTGGATACTGTTGTTGAAACTAAGTCACTGCCGCAAGGAACCTCAGCCCAGAAAGCTGAACTTACTGCCTTAACACGGGCCTTGGAGCTGAGTGAAGGTAAGATGGTGAACATCTACACCGACTCTCAGTATGCCTTTCTAACCCTCCAGGTGCATGGGGCATTATACAAGGAAAAAGGACTCTTAAACTCAGGGGGAAAAGAAACAAAGCATCGGCAGGAAATTCTGCAGCTATTAGATGCAGTCTGGAAGCCCCAACGGGTAGCAGTCATGCACTGCCGGGGACACCAATGGGCCTCCACCACTGCTGCCCTGGGCAACTCCCGGGCTGACTCATAAGCTGGAAAAGCAGCGTCCACTCCCTACCGAGCAGCAGTAACGGCCCCCCTACTCCCCCAAATGCCTGCTTTGGTGCCTACCTATTCTAAGGAGGAAAGGGACTTTTTTCAGAACGAAGGGTGACAGGTAATAAAGGAAGGGTGGATCCAGCTACCAGGTGGGAAAACAGCAGTGCCACAGCTGTTGAGCGCTGCTGCTGTGCAAGCCATGCACGAGACCACCCATCTGGCCAAGAATCTCTTGAAAAGTTGATAGGCGGGTACTTCTACATTTCACGTTTGTCGGCTCTAGCAAAGGCAGTGCACAGCGATGTGTCACTTGCCGACAACACAACGCAAAGCAGGGTCCAGCGATCCCACCTGGCTTACAGTCTTACAGAGCAGCTCCCTTTGAGGATCTCCAGGTGGACTTCACTGAGATGCCCAAGTGTGGAGGTCACAGGTATCTGCTAGTTCTGGTATGTACATACTCTGGGTAGGTGGAAGCGTTCCCAACTCGAACTGAGAAAGCTTGCGAAGTAACCCGTGTGCTTCTTCGAGATCTCATTCCCAGGTTTGGGCTGCCCTTGCGCATCGGCTCGGACAACGGGCCGGCTTTCGTGGCCGACTTGGTTCAAAAGACAGCAACGGTGTTGGGGATCACCTGGAAACTGCATACTGCCTACCGACCACAAAGTTCTGGAAAGGTGGAGCGAATGAACCGGACAATCAAAAACAGTTTAGAAAAAGTGTGCCAGGAGACAAGGTTAAAGTGGGTACAGGCACTTCCCATGGCGTTGTTTAAAATTAGATGCCCCCCTTCTAAGAAAACAGGGTAGTCTCCTTATGAGATAGTACACCATAGACCCCCTCCTCTACTACGGGGGCTCCCAGGAACTCCTCGGGAGCTAGGAGAGATTGAATTGCAGAGACAGCTACAGGCCTCAGGAAAAGTCACCCAAACCATCTCAGCCTGCGTTAATGAAAGGTGCCCAGTGAGCTTATTCTCCCCAGTTCACCCTTTTTCACCAGGTCGAGTATGGATAATGGATTGGAATGTCATCCCTTTGAAGCCCCGGTGGAAAGGACCCCTGACTGCAATCCTGACCACTCCCACAGCTGTGAAAGTGGAAGGAACACCAGCTTAGATTCATCACAGCCGAGTCAAACCTGCAGCGGCTGAAACCTGAGAGCTGAGATCAGACCCGGACAGCAGCTGTAAGATCACCTTGAGGAAGACGGCAAGCCTTGCCCCAGTCACGTCCCGGACGCTGACTGGTCCACGCACGGCCGAAGCATGAGGAAACCCATCGTGGGGCTCATTCTCCTTGGAACTTGGACTCATGTAGTAAGAACTTTACCTGATTTTGGAGACTGTTCTCAGTGTATACACAAGGTCACTGAGGTAGGGTGAAAAATCACTACCGTCCTTTTGTTCTATAGCTATTATGAATGCACAGGGACTCCAAAAGGAGCTTGTTTACACAATGGCACCCAGTATAAGGTATGCAGTCCCGGGGATGGGCAGCCAGATGTGTGCTATGACCCATCAGAGTCCCCCATGCGCACAATTTTTGAGGTAAAACGCTTAACAACTATGGCATGGAGGACCTCCAGTAAGTTAATTGCTAGAACAGAGGAGAAAGGAATCCCCAGGCAAGTTGTCATAAAATTTGATGCTTGTGCGGCTATGAATCAGGGGTGTGGCTCTCTTGGTAGGGAGCAGGATTATGCAGCAGAACATAAGTATATTTGCCAGACAACATATTGGTGTAGTGAATGTACTTACTGGTCATGTGTTACCTGGGGTACTTGGAAAAGTGACAAAAGCGATCCTGTCCTCCTTACGAAGGGAAGTAGTGTTCCTGGGAGTAATGGTCTCTGCACCTCTGGACATTGCAACCCATTAGAGTTAATAATTACAAATCCACAGGACCCCCGCTGGGAAAAAGGAGAATACGTAATGTTAGGAATTGATGGGAAGGGGCTGGATCCCATGATTAATATCTTAATTCAAGGGGAGGTCCAAAGACGTACCTCCAGGCCAGTGCCAGTGTATCAGACTTTTTATGAGGAGTTAAACGAACCGGCCCCAGAACTCCCAAAGACGACGAAAAACTTGTTCCTCCAGTTAGCTGAAAATGTGGCCCACTCACTGAATGTTACTTCTTGTTATGTGTGTGGAGGAACTACAATGGGGGACCGGTGGCCATGGGAAGCCTGAGAGTTACTGCCCTCTGATCCCGTCCCTGAGCTAACCTCAGTCCAAAGAATTCAAACCAACAGCTTCTGGGTCCTAAAAGTTTCAATTATTGGACAGTATTGCCTAGCCAGAGAGGGGAAAGACTTCACTGTCCCAGTAGGAAAGCTTAGTTGCCTGGGACAGCAATTGTATAATGCAACAGTAGATGCAGTCACTTGGTGGAGTTCAAACCACACAGAGAAAAACCCTCTCCTTACATTCCCTAAATTGCAGGACGCCTGGAATCATCCTGGGCTCCGTCGAGACTGGACAGCCCCGGCCGGGTTGTACTGGATATGCGGGCACAGAGCGTATGCGCAGCTGCCTGAGCGCTGGGCCGGCAGCTGTGTCATAGGCACCATGAAACCCTCTTTCTTCTTACTGCCCGTCAAGACAGGCAAGTTGTTAGGATACCCTGTCTACACATCTCCCCGGGAACCAAGAAGCCTGACTATAGGAGATTGGAAAGATGACGAATGGCCCCCTGAAAGGATCATACAATATTACTGGCCTGCCACATGGGCACAGGACGGCTCATGGGGATACCAGACCTCAATTTATATAATCAACCGTATTATCCGGTTACAAGCTGTCTTAGAAATAATCACCAATGAAACTGGTAAAGTTTTAAACCTCTTGGCCCGGCAGGAGACTCAGATGAGAAATGCTATCTACCAAAACAGACTAGCACTAGACTACTTGCTGGCGGCCGAAGGGGGAGTCTGTGGAAAATTCAGTCTAAGCAACTGTTGCCTGCATATAGATGGTCAAGGCCAGGCAGTTGAAAATATTATAAGAGACATGACAAAACTAGCCCATGAGCCGGTGCAAGTGTGGCACGGGTTTGACCTTAGAGCTATGTTTGGGAAATGGTCCCCAGCCCTGGGAGGATTCAAAACTCTCATTGTAGGTGTGGTGCTGGTCATAGGTGTCTGCTTGTTACTTCCCTGCTTACTGCCCGTGTTCCTTCAAATGCTTAGGGGACTGGTTGCTACTGTGGTTCACCAGAAAACCTCAGCTCAAGCATATTATATGCATCACTATCAATCGGTTTTGTTGAATAACCAGGATGACGAGGAAGAAGGTGAGAACCCTAATATGTAAGTGAAGTTCTCAAAGGGGGGAAATGAGGAAGGAGACCGCCTTCTCCGAGCCTGTGCTTGGAGAAAAGGAGGAATTAAAAGTTAAAGGTCAGCCAGAGGAGGTCAGGCACTGCTGGCCAGGTCTAGAGGTTAGAGGTTAAACCGCCTAATCCTAACCACAGTCCTATCAATAGATCACAAACACGGGATGGAGGAATTTTCCCCGGAAGGCACCGTTATTGCTCAACTGCACAGGCCCCTACCTAGTCACCTCGCCCACGCTCTCAACCCTCTCACATGTGCACCTCTTAGACTGTAAGCCTTTAAAATGGCCAGGATTTTCTTTGCCGGGGAGCTTGGTGATTGAGGCTTCGGCCAGCCGCCGCTCTCAGCCGAATAAAACTGCCACTTCCTTCCCCGTTCAGTGTTTGAGAGGTTTGTTTGCGGCTGCTCCTGCTTCACCACAAAGCTGGCCTCAGCATCACCTGGCGGCAGCTCAGGGGAGACTGGACCCTTAGTGCTAGATGGAATTCATGGACCCTTGGTGCATGTGGTACAAGGGCTCCAGGGAGGCCGCACTGGAGGAAGGGGGAGGAAGCGAGGGGAAGCAGTGGGGCCTCAAGACCAGCTAGAGGCCCAGGAGTTGAGGGCAGAGGAAGCGAGGGGCCTCCCAGGGGCAGCACCATCGCAGGCAGTGCCACCACTAACTTCTGAAGAACACACACTGCCTGGGTGAAGGATGGTGCAGGGTGAGTCACTTTAGGAAACTGCCACCAAGGGCCACCTCACACACATGTGCATGCTGGCTGCTCCTAGATTCCAAACAACTCTTCTGCTGATTCTGATGACGGCAAAGACGGCGCTCATTTACTTCTCACAGCTTCCAGTTTACTAATTTTCGAAGGGAAAGGTTTCTTTGGGGAAGAGGGAAAGCACACACTTGCTACTGCTAGCTATTTCAAAACGAGTTATAATTAAGGTTTTTGCTGAGATATTTATCAGTACAAACATGCTTCTTCTGCAGTACATTCACACCCCTTCTACCAAGGTGAGGATTTAGACAATGGGAAAAATACCAATGTGTCCTAAGTTACACAGGGGGAAACAGCGCAGTCAGAAAGTCTGACACACAGCATATTCCGAGCGCACGTACTGGCTACCTGCTGCATAACAAACCGCATGCCTTCCAGTGGCGCAGAGCAACAGTGACGGCCGCACGGCCCCTATGACCCGGAATCCAGGCACAGCTCTGCGGGGTGGCTCTGGCCTGGGCGCTCTCTCAGGCCCTTGGACTGAGAGCCTCAGCCTTGAGAGTGTCAACCGGAGGCCTCCTGCTCAGTGATTTGCCATATGGGTCTTTCCAAGAAGGCAGCTTGACTCAGCCAGGTGTGCAGGCCGAGGCAGCAACACAGACGGTCTTCCAGCAAGGCAGAGCCACCACACACGCACGTGTCAGGTGACAGCCCCTCAATGCTGCCATGTTCTGTTGGTTAATGGAGTTACTCACGGGGAGGGGACTGCACAAGGGCATGAAAACCAGCAGGTGAAGGCCACCGGGGCCTCGCAGAGGGTATCTCAGGGGTCTCTTAGATTCTCTTTAGACTCCTCTCTGACCCCTCTGTGCAACAGTAATTTTATTTATTAGAAGTGAAATCATTTCTAATAAGCGATTTTATTAGCAAAGAAAATCTAAAAAAAACCCAGTGCTCTAAGCGTGACCTTAAGAAACTAGAGACAGGAGCCAGGTTACACACCTGCAATCCCAGCTACTCAGAAGGCTGAGGCAGGAGGATCGCTTGGGCCTGGAGTTTCAGTCCAGCCAGTCTGGGCAACACAGTGAGACCCCCGTCTAATAATAGAAAAAGAATAAACTAGAAAGAGCAAATTAAAACCAAGTAAGCAGAAGAAAACAATGACTCTAAGAGCACAAATTAGCAAAATGGAAGTGAACAACAGAGGAAAACAATTGAATGAAACTGAAAGCAGAGTGTTTGAAAAGACCAACAAAATGGACACACCTTTAACCAGACTGATCAAATTACCTGTATCTGGAAAGAAGGAACACCAACACACGTCTTATCATTAAAAGCTTCTAGAATGACTAAGTGAGTCTGGCAAGACGGCAAGGTGCAAGGTCAATATGAAAAAATCACTCACACTACGCCATAGAGTGATGAACAACCAGAAATGGAAATTAAAGCAGTCCTACTTACAATAACATGATACGATGAAATGCTTAAAGTATGTGACAGACTTATATATTGAATATTACAAAACATTCCTAGGAGAAATTAAAGACCTAAATGTATTGAGAAGATATATTATGTTCATGGATTGAAGGACTCAAAATTAAGATGTTAATTCTCTTTAATCTATAGATTCAATACAATCCCAATAAAAATCCAGCAGGCTTTTTGCAGAAATTGTTAATTCTAAAATTTATATGGAAATGTGAAAGACCTACAACAGCCAAAATGAGTTTTCTTTTTCTTGTTTAGAAACGGGGTCTTGCCTTGTTGCCCAGGCTGGTCTCGAATGCCTGAGTTCAGGCAATCTTCCCGCCTTGGCCTCCCAAAGTGCTGGGATTGTAGGTGTGAGCCACCATTCCTGGCCCAAAAACGAGTTTCAAGAGGTAGGTATATGTCCTAATTTCAAGATGCGCCATAAAGCTACGGAAATGAATTACTGTACGGAGAACAGACATGTAGACCAATGGACAGAACAGCGCCTAGAAACAGATTTACAATGTAGGTGGTCAGTTAATGCCAACAAAGGTGCCATGGATTTCACTGGGAATGGACAGACTTTTTACAAACGGTGCTGGGACAGCTCAATTTCCACATGCTGGAAAGAGGGGGAACCCTCAACTCTATGGTTTACACAAATTCACGCACATGGATCGCAGACCTAGATGGGAGCACAGAAACTATGAAAGTATCTAAGAAGGAGACAGAACAGAAAATCATGAAGACTTCAGGCCCAGGAGTCGAAGCTGCAGTGAGCTATGATCACGACACTTCACTTCAGCTCAGGCAAAGAGTTCTTAATCAAAAAAGAACAATAAAAGATGTTAGAGGCCGGGCGCGGTGGCTCATGCCTGTTAATCCCAGTACTTTGGGAGGCCGAGGCGGGTGGATCACGAGGTCAAGAGATTGAGACCATCCTGGTCAACATGGTGAAACCCCGTCTCTACTAAAAATACAAAAAATCAGCTGGGCCTGGTGGCGCGTGCCTGTAATCCCAGCTACTCAGGAGGCTGAAGCAGGAGAATTGCCTGAACCCAAGACGCGGAGGTTGCGGTGAGCCGAGATTGCGCCATTGCACTCCAGCCTGGGTAACAAGAGTGGAAACTCCGTCCCAAAAAAAGAAAAAAAAAAAAAAGATGTTTGAGACACCAAATTTCATCAAAATTTAAAACTTTTGCTTTCTGAAAGATATCATTAGGAAAATGAAAAGCGGCCTGGCACAGTGGCTCACACCTGAAGCCCCAGCAATTTGGGAGGCTGAGGCAGGAGGATCATTTGAGCACAGGAGTTCTAGATGAGCCAGGCAGCATAGTGAGACTCCATCTCTGCAAACAATTTAAAATATTAGCCAGGTGTGGTGGTGTGTGCCGACAGTCCAAGCTACTTAGTAGGCTGAGGCGGAGGATCGCTTGAGCCCAGGAAAGTTGAGGCTGCAGAGAGCTGTGATCACACCACTGCACTTCAGCCTGGGAAACACAGTGAGTCCCTGATTGTTTGTTTTTTAAGTGGTGGCTCATGCCTGTAATCTTAGCACTTTGGGAGACCAAGGTGGGAGGAGCGCTTTAGCACTTGAGCCCAGGAGTTCAAGACTAGCCTGGGTGACATTGTCTCAAAAAAACGACCTTGTCTCAAAAAAAAAAAAAAGGTATAAGAAAATATAAAAGAACAAAACAGGCTTGGCACAGTGGCTCACACCTGTAATTACAGCACTTTGTGAGTCTGAGGTGGGTGGACTGCTTGAGCCCAGAAGTTTGAGGCCAGCCTGGGCAACGTGGTGAAACCCCATCTTTACAAAAAGACACTAAAATTAGAAGGCGTGGTGGCTCACACCTGTAATCCCAGCACTTTGGGAGACTGAGGCGAGCAGATCACAAGGTCAGGAGATCGAGACCATCCTGGCCAACATGGTGAAACCCCATCTCTACTAAAAATACAAAAATTAGATGGGGGTGGTGGCGCACACCTGTAGTCCCAGCTACCTGGGAGGCTGAAATGGGAGAATCATCTGAGCCCAGGGAGGTCAAGCCTTCAGTAAGTTGTGATCATGCCATAGCACTTAAAGATGCAATGAGATATGGTTCACACCCACTTCAATGAATGAAGTTTAAAAAGATTGACAACACCAAGTGTTGACGGTTGACGAGGATGTGGAGAAACAGGAACCCCCTACAATGCAAGTAGGAATGCAAGATGGTACTGTCACCCTGCAAGGCACTGTACCCAGTGATCCATGCATGAGAAGTGAGACACATCCACACAGCTGAGCCCTGAAGGTGAGTACTCACAGTAGCTTTATCATCATAGCTTCCAAAATGGAAACACCCAAATCCCTACCACCTGATGAACGAGTAAACAAATCATGGAGTGTCCATTCAGCAGAGAACTAGGCAGCATTGAAAAGGTGCAAAGTATGGATTGACGCAGTAACAAAGATGATTCTATCAGAAAAGCATTATGCTAAGTGGCAAGAGCCAGACCATATGCTGCGTGATTCCATTTACGTCGATTCCAGAACGGGCAGCACCGTGACAACAGGGGCAGGTTGGTGGTAGCTGGGGGCAGTGCAGTGGCTAATGTGCGGCACGTTTGGGAGTCTTGGGGTGATGAAAATATTCTGGGTCCTAATGGTGGCAGCCATACCACTGTAGACATCTCACGTCAACTGTCAAACTGCCTGTTTGGAGTAGGGGAGCGCTGCTTCCACATCCAGTCATAAGCACTGTGGCTCTGGGTGTGGACGGCAGACAACTTTTTAAAGAAACTCCAACTCCAACCCGGGAATACTTCGGTCACTACATTGCCCTGGCAAGTGTAATTTCAGTCAAACCCTGAGAAATAAATTGGGCCTTTTGTTGTCTGGACTCAATCTAAGCATGTCTAAGAACAGACTTATTAAAGCCCCGTTCCAGTAACCTGTAAAAATACCTTCTATCCTGCTCTCCTGCCGAACGCAGACCTGGGCTTAAGGTTTTATGCGAATTATGTAGTGCTCAGGGTCAATAAATGTCAATTTCGTGCCCTTAGGGTCAGTGTGCCACAGCCTACCTACTTCCTACAGCTCTCCCGTTTCAGTCGGCACTGCTGGAAGTTTATATGGAACAGACACACCTACGACTTTGGAAAGCTACCTTTAGTATGCACTACACAGATTGTGTAGTGAAGCACATATGCAGACAGGTCCTGGGCTTATGATGGTTGGACCTATGATTTTTCAACTTCACACTAAGGTGAAAGCCATACACGTTCACTTGAAACCATATTTCGAGCGCTTATACAGACTGGTTTCACTTTTGGTATTCAATAAATCACATGAGACCTTCAACTTCATTGTACAATAGGCTCTGTGTTAACATGATTTTGTCTAACTATAGGCTGGTGTGAGTGTTGTGTTTTTGTTGTTGTTGTTTTTTTGAGACAGGGTCTCACTCCATCACTCAGGCTGCAGTGCAGTGGCATGATCATGGCTCTCACTGCGGCCTCCGTCTCCCAGGCGCAAGCAATCCTCCCTCCTCAGCCTCCTGAATAGCTGTGATTACAGGTGTGCGCCACCATACCCAGCTAATTTTTCATTTTTTTTGTAGACACGGGGTTTCGCTATGTTGCCCTAGCTGGTCTTGAACTCCTGGCCTCAAGTGATCGTCCCACCTTGGCCTCCCAAAGTGTTGGCATGACAGGCGTGAGCCAGCGGGCCCAGCCTGGTGTGAGTGTTCCAAGCATGGTTAAGGAAGGTGAGGCTAGGCTATGACGTGTGGTGGGGTGGGTGTATTAAATGCATCTTCCACTTAAGGTATTTTCAAGGATGGGTTTACTGGGGCATAACCCTGATGCAAGATGAGGAGCATCTGTGTGTGTCACCCTAAATTATCTAAAATCTCTACAAGTCTCATGTAATAAATAATCAAACAATGAGATGTACTAAGCTGCATAGACATTGAGACTCACGTCTGTCAAGTACGAAAATTCCAAGGTGTTGTGCAAGTGCTAGGGTTTTTAAAGCCACGAAACACAGCATCTGCCACAGAGAAAATCAGGGAGAACTGTTCCTAACGTCTCTATCACATCCACTTACTTCTCAGGAACCAGAGCTTCTAAATTTCGTATTTGTCACTACAACCACAATTCACTGTCCAGAAACTGAGTGATGACACCCAATTCGTAATTCCAACCGCCTTAGCTTTGCTATAACAACGCTTTCATAATCACCTTGGTGCCCAGTCCTCACACACTGAAGGGACAAAATAAATGTTTAGGAAAATTAATTGCTACCCAACTTCTCCCTGGCTGGGGTCTAGCCACAAAGGTGGTCCTTCAGTTTCGCGAATACACCCAGGTCTCCCTTCCTCGGCCTCCAGATGTGAGGCCCAAGAGCCCTCGCCCTGCTCTCCATAAAGGCCTTCCCACACCGGCCCAGCCCGTTTTTTTCCCTCGCTGGTCGAGTCACTTTCTTTCTCCAAGCGCCCACACCCCCACCACGGAGATATGCCCCCCAGCCCACAGATGTGGGTCCTGTCCACCCTCTGTGCCTTTAGATATGATGGGCACCCAAGGAGCAGGAGCAGAATAAACGCAGAGTGACAGACACAGAGGAGAGAACCAAAGCACGACCTGCAGCTTGTCCCCTGTGCCCGATTCCCCAACTCTCCAGAAAAGGGTCCTTCAGCCATGTCTGCACCCCAGGTCCTCTGGCCATCTCACAAAGCCTTTCAGAACAAGTTTTTTTTTGTTTGTTTTTTGTTTTGTTTTTTTTTTTTTTTTGAGACGGAGTTTCGCTCTTGTTACCCAGGCTGGAGTGCAATGGCGCAATCTCGGCTCACCGCAGCCTCCGCCTCCTGGGTTCAGGCAATTCTCCTGCCTCAGCCTCCTGAGTAGCTGGGATTACAGGCACGCGCCACCATGCCCAGCTAATTTTTGTATTTTTAGTAGAGACGGGGTTTCACCATGTTGACCAGGATGGTCTCGAGCTCTTGACCTCGTGATCCACCCGCCTCGGCCTCCCAAAGTGCTGGGATTATAGGCGTGAGCCACCGCGCCCGGCAGAACAAGTTTTAAAGATGAAAACATACACAGAATTGCAAAGGGAAAAGCGCGCTGAGATACAGCAAAGCACTGGGAAAGGAAGATGAGAGCTTTTTCATTAACGGGCTAAGTGACCAGATTGAGGGGTGGACGCAGGACCTCCTGTGATCTCAGTGACAATGAGCATCAGCTCCCACTGCAGGGCGACAGGAAATCGGCGCTCTTCAGTGCTGACGTCAGTGGGGCTGCCCCACGCACAATGGAGGAAAACACTACAGTTTCGCTGGAGCCAGATCCGTGCACATGACCGATGGGTCCGCACCACAGTGAGGCTGAGGGAGAGCTCATGGAACAAGAAACACTTTATGATGTCTGTAGCAACAAACATCCCTAAAACACCCAAAATAATGAGATTTAAAAATATTTTATGGTGCAGTATGTGAAATTCTAGAATAAAACGGATGCTTCTAAATTGTTTGCCTTTTACCCAGACAGCTTATATGGCTAAGGGTTTAGAAAATGACAGATTTTAAAACTTCCTTAGGCCATAAGGAAAACTAAACATTCCAACAAAACTTTTGGGCCCAAGACACCCCCAGTGGGGACTCCCTGCAGGGCCCCGCCATGTTGCCCAGTCATCTGGAAGGAACACCGAGTGCTGCATGTGCGAGGCCTGGTCATGCCCACCTGCACGTGTCTCCGTGAGTTTCCGTGCTTTGGAAATGCCTGTCACTGAACCATGTAACGTCCACAATAACCTTGGATTCGAGCCAACAGCAACAAGGAGAAGAAGATAGCATCTTCCAGCATCTCCCATGGCCAGGCACCATTCGAAGCATGTCCGGGACCCTCTGAGGGTTGGTGTGCGATCACACTCACTTTACACACAAGGAATCAGACTGCAGCACAGAGGGGATCCCGAATTTGCTTTCACGACACAGCCAGTGACTCTCAGCTCATGGTTCACTGTGGCCTGGCAGGGACAGCGGGAGAGAGGGGCCCCAGCCGAGAGCCAGTACTCATCAGTGCCAATTCTGCCCCAGATGCTCAGCTACCACTCTGCCAAAACTGTAATTCAACGTCCACATCCGAGGATCACTCCTCCCCAAACCCAGCTGAGAACAGGAGGAAACCACCATCAGGGCAGGCTGAAGGGAGGGGAGACAAGGACTCCTGTGCCCAGGGCTCTCCGGGACATGCCATCCTACTCCTCCGGAGGATCAGAGCCACGCCCAGTCCACAGCTGCTCCGCTCAGAGTTCACGGCGCACAGACGGGGAGGAGACTTACCAATCTGCAACAGTATGGGTGTGACCAGAGCTGTTTCCATGGCGTAACAGAACTCCCTGCCAAACATCACTGCCCCGTGCATCACCCACAGGCGCATGGGGATTCGGTCTATGGACCCCTCGCTGATGGTCTCACAGTTCTCGGCCTCTGCGTCTCCGGCTTTCTGCGGGTCTGGCAGGGGCACGGATAACTCTTGAACTTGCATAGATTCCGAGTCGGCATTCTGCGGAGCCATTTTCATTACCACCAAAAATATATATATATTTCTCTATATATTCTATCTATATAAATAATGCTTTCATATATCTGTAATGATAAATTAAGACGTCTTCTCTTTCTGCTTCGGTTGTGTTCCTTGGGCAAGTAACACTTACATTCCTCTTTGCACAAGTGGGTATCTCACAACTTCTCACAATGGTATGAGACATGCAGCAACACAGAACGATTTTTGGTTGGATTTTAAACATATGGCTTGCTGGTTTACTGTGAATTAGAGTTAAAAATCCATAAATGCCATTCAGTTAATACCAGTTTCATCATTATTACTGAAGAGGTGCTGAAGTGATTTTTCTTGCTACAGAGAGGTGGGAAGGTGACACAAACAGGTGGTCCGCTGGTAATCCCCATCGAGTGACTGGATGATCTGCAAAAGAGGAAAACAACCCAGCCAGAGAGTCAGGCGGTGGCCGCCACACGGCCCTGCGGACCACCGCCCGACCCCCAAGCCAGCCGCGTGCCCCAAAGGCCTGACCCAAGATCACACACTTCTCTGCTGCTTACTCTGAGTGCATCTGTGCAAATAACAAAACCTACGTTCTAGAAAAACATTTTCTCAAATGGAAGGGAATCCTGGGGAAGGGTAAAGGTGAGGCAATCAAGGAAAGCAGGATCAAAGAGAAGACAGAGAAAAACGCTAACAATATTCTCTCTTTGGCCAATAACAGTTTCGTCCACCCTGTGTACCACAGCACATAACTATTCCAGCAGGCTGGCGGTGGCTGGTGACGCCCTTCATGGCTGCAGATATCGTTGAGAGGGAAGTAAGAAGGTGAAAGGGAAAGTGGGGGAGGCAGACAAACGAGAATCAAAAGGGGAAACTTTTGTTTAAAAAGTTTGATTTGTTAGAGACAGGGTCTCACTCTGTTGCCCGGGCTGGACTGCAGTCACACAACCACGGCTCTCTGCAGCCGCAAATTCCTGGGCTCAAGTGACCTCCCACCTCATCCTCCCGAGTAGCTGGGACTACAGGTGTGCCCCACCACACCCAGATAATTTTTCTATTCTTTGTAGAGACAGGGTCGCCACTATATTACCTAGGCTGGTATCCAACTCCCGGGCTCACGTGATCTTCCCCGCTTTGGCGTGAGCCACTGTGCCCAGCCAAAAAGGAAACTTGAGACCCTGCCTGGAGAGTGGAAAAGAAAAATCAAAAGTAGGCCAGGCGCAGTGGCTCACGCCTGTAATCCCAGCGATTTGTGAGGCTGAGGCTGGTGGATCACCTGAGGTCAGGAGTTCTAGACCTGCTTGGGCAACTTTGTCTCTACTAAAAATTCAAAAATTAGCCAGGCCTGGTGATGGGCACCTGTAATCTCAGCTACTTGGGAGGCTGAGGCAGGAGAATTCCTTGAACCTAGGAGGTGAAGGCTGTAGTAAGCCGAGATCGTACCACTGCACTCTAGCCTGGGTGACAGAGTAAGACTCTGTCTTAAAAAAAAGAAATAAAAAAAAAAAAAGGAAAAGAAAAGAAAAGAGAAATGAAAAGTAGGGCACTGGGTGGAATGAGGATAGCATGATTCTCTGTCCAGCGGGGAGTCTGAAGTCTACCCAAAGGCGCCTGGACTCCTGCGGTCAGCCTGTCAAGGGCAGTGGTCTCAGCCTTTAGGTTATAAAACCTTTTGATAATAAAATGAAAGTTATAGACCTTCTCTCCAGAAAAAAAAATGGAAGCCTGTGCCAAACGCTGACTATGGTATCCAGGGGTTCGGACACTCCCAACCCACACGCGGCTTTCCTAGGGACTATGGAACCCTATCACCCCAACGGGTTTCCAGCACCCTGGCTCCAGTGACCGACCCAGCTTGGTGACATATTCTCCACCTGGGTAAACACATACAATAAAGCAGAAATAAGCTAACTGGAAATGCTGCCTTGGAAATGTTTTAGGAAATGAGGTCAATCTCTCCCCAGGTAAGGTAAAATCAGGCACGTGAACAGCCCAAGTTCAGAACTTCTCGAGCTGGGTCTCCAGACACTGGGTTCAGTTCAACTGAAGTACTAGAAAGAGACCCTGAAAACATACTAAATGATGTTCACAGTCTACGTTAAGGTAGGTCTGTGGGCCAATATCTTACTGAGAATTAATTATTCTACCAACTGGCTTCAATAAAAAGATTTCTCATGGCTTTCCACCAATCCAAAGGTGGTCTTGATTAGCTCCACCTCTCTTTCTCCCCAGAGGGGACCCAAAACCTCGAGATGCTGTCTTCACTTGGCTCCTCCCTCGTGCAGCCCTGACGGAGAAGGTGGGTCCCCGGCACATGGGCCCCAGGAGGGAGAGGACTCCGACGGGCCAGAGGTTCCTGAAGGAAGCCCTGCACTTGGCTCTTCTGTCCAGCTCTTCCCTACATCTTTCACACCTCGGTGGAAATGCAAATGCCTAATTCCTCAGGAACCAAAGATTCAAGTGGTGCCACCTACGTATTTGCTTCTTATGTCCCCTGGACTTCACTACGATCCCACACAACAGCCCTTGAGAATTCTTTCAAATTTACCAAATGTCCTCTGCCATGGAAACATCAAGTTTCCAAACTTCACCTAACTGCAATTTTTTTTCTAAACACTGTGCAACAGAACTATTTCTAACATATGCAAAGTAAACAGAATAGCATAAGAAACCACCCAGGTTTAATGAGGACTGACATTCTGCTATTTTTGGTCCGCCCCCACCTTTTCAGAATCCTTCCTAACAGAACATGTCACGATTTTCCTTGTTTTCAGTCTGTCAGTCTTGCACCAGAATAGGGTCAATGATTGTAACTGCTTTCTTCTACCAGGTAAGAGGAGTCCTTCTTATGAGAAGAACGTACATCCAGACACGTCTGCAAAGCCTGAACAGATCAACTGGGGTTTGGGCAGGAACAAAAGCAATTAGTTTTCTAAGAAATCCTAATGACTTAATTAGAAACATCAGACCCTTCAGTCTGCTCAGTCAGCCCTTTGTCCCACTGCTGTGTCTTCGGAGACTTGAGCCTGAAGTGAAGGAGTCTCTGTTCCTGGAGTCCCTTCAGTAAGAGCTGACAGTGAGGCCATAAACAGCTGTAATAAGTCATGTATGAATTATTCTAAGGTAGCGGTTCTCAACCAGGGGCAATGCTGCACCCTTGAGGGACATGTGGCAATGACTTGACACATCTCTGATTGCGACAACCAGGGGAGGAGGGGACACTACTGGCGTCTTGGAGTGGAGGCCAGGGATGCTGCTCAACCGCAGCGCACAGAACAGCCCCAGCAGAGAAGGCCCCGGCCCGGAACGTCCACAGCCCACAGGGGAGGCACTGTTCTAGGGTTATTACTAAACAGGAAAAAGGCTCTCTTTAAAAATGCTTCAACCCTTGATCAGTACATTCTGAATCAATCAACTAGAGAGACACTGCAAGCTTTCTCTGCAAAGCTGGACGAGGAACTTTCAGGCACAGACGGTCTCTGTGGCACAGTCTCCTTTTTCCTTTTTCAACAATCCTTTAAAAACACAACATTCTTAGCTTGCTGGTTATTCTTTTAATCCCGGCTCTGAGCAGGATCTGGCCCCCAGGTCACAGTTGGCTGCCCTCCGGCCTGGCCTAGGGTCAGGAAGTCACTGAGTCTCTCTGATGAACAGAAAAGAAGGCCACAGTGGGGACCTACTCAGCTCCCGCACTCCCCCAGCCTCATTCTGCTCCGTGCCACTTAAACTGTCGAGTCCTGACTTAACACAGAACTGGAAAACACACGCGACACGCTCACACGTGCCGAGACGACCCGAGGCCAGGAGTGTAGGCGGCAATCTGCAGGCCATGCGCTTCCCAGGCAGCTCAGCTGTGCCCCAGCCAGTGGTATTTCTCAGCACCTTGTTTGCAAAGAGCAGGCTGGGTAAGGCTCACTGATGAGCCACACAGAAGAGCCCCAGGCAACCATCACTGCCTCCCCAGCGCAGTGTAGACTCCAATCACGGGGCCTCAGGGATGGCTACCAAAAGGTCTTAGGAATCTGCTAAAGATTCATTCGGCCTGTACAACACAGTCAGATCCATCTCTACAGAAACTTTTTTCAAAGATTAGCATGGTGGTGCATACCTGTAATCCTGGCTACCCCAGAGGCTAAGGCAGGAGGATCGCTTGAACCCAGGAGTTGAAGACAAGCCTGGGCAACACAGCAAGACCCCATCTCTATACATTCTGTTTTTAATTAGCCAGATGTGATGGCATGTGCCTGTAGTCCCATCTACTCAGGAGGCTGAAGCAGGAGGGTAGTCTGAGCCCAGGAGTTCAAGGCTGCAGTGAGCTACAATTATGCCAGTGCACGCCAGCCTGCCACACACAGTGAGACCTTGGCTCTCATTTTTTTTTTTTTTAACAGATTCTAAAACAAGATGTCTTTTTACCTGGGAACAGCTGAGGATTTCACAAAACTAAACCCTCAGGGAGCAAAGAACCTGTGTCCTCCGTAACAGAGTCACAAGTCCACAGAAAGGCGGAGTAGTGCGGGAAGGCTCCCTCGAAATGGAAGGTCAGCTACCCCACTGGAGTTCCTCTGAAATGCTGGGGCTTCCCTACCAGCCTTCTAAGAACTAGTGTAAAACTGACCTTCCAAAGAGAAGATGAAAAGGAGGGAGACGAGCAGCTATGGGAAAGTCATCCAGCCCACGCCCCCAGCGTCCACATGGCCATGGTCAGGGCAAGCCACCAGACACCGCTGCTCAGCAGGCTGAGGGGCAGCAAGACAGCTTCACGCCTTGGGACACTGTTGACCCAGCCCGCAGTGACGGTGCTGCACGTTCAGCCGTGGACACAGGCCCCCCGTCAGGGCCCCTGGCTCCAGAACCCTGCCTGGGCAGTGCTGATGTCGGTCGAGGGATCACCCTTCGGAGCAGGCTGTCTCCCTGCCGGCCTGCACCCTTCTGTCTCTCTCACCTTCAGTTCAACCACCCTGTTTTTGGAGACTCTTTTCAGGGCTAACTGGACCCCTTTAGAATGGGTGATCCCCACCTTGTACAAAGGATGACAGCTACTGGTAGGTGGCATGAGAGAAGCCCCCTCAAGAGACCCCGTCCCCCACTTTCATCTGTCCCCAGATCTCCCGGCATCGGTCCCCAATGGGTGATGTCCGTGTTTCCCTAACCTGGGCCCTCCCTTCCACATGCACTGTTTCCAGCCACACAGCAAAAGCCTGATGAGTGAGTCACATGAACGAATGAACTGACTGAAGGAGGATGATCGGCCAATAAGTACTATGGGGTATCTGAACTGGAAACCATTCCGCATACCACCAGCTCTGCTGAAGCCACACCCAGGCACTCCAGCTGAACAGCCACCGGCTGATGCCTCCCTGAAGTCCTCATTAAATGGCATGGGCATGGCATGGGTGTCACGGGTTATGCAAGTCGCCTGGGCGTTAACACAGCTAGTTTCCCTTCCTCCAGCAGGACAGAGGCAGTGGCACAGTACACAGATTTTACACAGGTGACTTCACTGGCATCTATATTGAGGAAAACAAGTATCTTTAGACAGCATGAGTTTGTTTAAAGTAGCAGTACGTGCAAAAATCTACCAAATGTCTCATACCTTCATGAACTTATCCAATGAATGTTACCAACCTAGGGTGTTCACACCAATGCGAGCTTCCAAGGGCAGGGAAAGTTTAGGCAGCTGCCAGATAGTAAACTCGACAGGGCGAAATTAACTACTACAACAAATCAACACGTTAACCAACATTAATTTTCTCAAAGATATGCACCCATCGGACTAAGCTGCTTCTAAAGGTGACTATCTTGAAGACGACACCCAACAGCTCACAGCAGGATACCACCTGGGGCAGCTGCTGCTTCCAAAAATTCTATTTCTGCAAAGCCCTGGGGATTTTGCAAGCATTTTAGAGAAAGTCACAAAATAATTTAAAAATAAAGTTTACGTGTTATACTTAGAAAATCAGGGGTCATATCACCTTGTCAAGGAGTGGCTATGAGCACTGAAAGATCTCGAGGGTGGAACTGCAGGGGACAGCAGACAGGGAAGGCCGTGCTGACCTGGCCCCGGCATGGGCTGCTCTGAAAGGAGAGCCGGGGCCTCCGGGTTGCTGCAGGAAGAACCAGCGTGAGTATTTCTCCAGTTAACAGG